AGCATAATGCCTAGTGAAAGAATAATTAATAACCCTCCCACAGACATTATGTTGTGATAAATTACTGGTAGTTGAGAGAGGTGATGAACGAATGTAATTGGCGACTAATAGATGTGTGGTATTGTGTTTGTTACAGCCGAGACGATATGCGGCACGACAGGTACGCTATTGCTGCATTTTGAGTAGATTTGATTCGATTGGAACAGGTGATTGATTGTGTGCCTGAGCAATGAGTGCAGATCTGTAGTTATTTGCTGAAGGTTTAACCAACGAACCGTTATTTCTGTTCACATGACATCCCTTTTTGCAGAGATAGTGTGAACAGAAACACGAGGACTGCATCTAGCTACAAGCAATCATTGCCCAGGTACATACATCCAATGTTACGCTCTAACGATACATCTACTTAACTTAATCAACTTTACACATAAATATAAATAAATAAATCAAATCAGTATTATAATTCCATTCTATATATACATATACATCATATATATACATATATAATCAATATTGAATTTCTGAAATCGAGTTTTGCAATTTTACATATATATATATATTAGAGTTTCGCTAAATATTTCATATATATAAAAGTCAGGTCCAAGACAAACCTGCTTCTAATTTTGTGTATTCAAGCAAGATTAATATCCATGTTTTTTCCTTTTTTAGATACGGACCACCAACACGCACCGAGTACCGCCTTACCGTGGAAAATCTGTCCAGTCGTGTCAGCTGGCAGGTAAGCGATATTTGTACCCTTGCTTTTGTCGTTTACTATTACCGACTGACGATAACTTTTTTCGTGAGTTTGATTGCTACTCGAGGTTCCAACGAAAAGAGAAAAAAGAAACGATACGAATGCACGAACAAGAAAATAGAATATATACGTCCGGTATATTATATATGTTCATATATATATTATATATACATTATATATATATAATATATGATATCATGCTTCCTCTTGCTGGTGATTTTGTTCTTCCGCTACTTTCGTGTCCCCGAGTCGAACCAAACTTACCAACGCGGCATTTTAGTATCGTACTGTTTTTTATTCGATTTTTCTTTCGTCATTTTAAGTTCGTTCACTCATCCAAACTCTCTTCTATTCCGAATGCTAATGAGAAAAAAAAAGAAAGATGTACATTTTGATCAAGTAAGTCTCTGGCATATTCGAAATTTTTTATCTTGAACACGCCTGCCCGAACGAGACCGCTCTCCCTAAAAAAAAGTACGTGTACGAAATTGAGAATCTGAAAATGGCGGGTAGAGAAAGAACCAAAAAAATAATGAGAGACAGGGAAAAAGGTGCAAAAACAGTAGTAGCAGCGATGAATCGAGGAAACGATGAAAAAAGGCACCGGACACGAGAATTTCGAAAGTGCGACTCATAGCCTCGAAGAAACTCGATCGATCGATGACGATGATGATGATGATTCGGATTGGAATAACACGCGCAGCTGCTTCGGAAGAAGAGGTGCGAGAACCGTGAAGAGACATGAAGCAACAAAGGAGACGATGAAGACATAACGACACGATTAAGAAAGATCGACGATGGTCGATCTACGGGAATGCATGGGAATACTATGTGGGAAATACCAGGACGCATGCACTGCATCTTTCGAAATCCTTAATCAGAGTACAATCGATAAAATATATATAAATATATATATGTATTTTACATACACGTATATACATATACATATATATAGACGTTAAAGACGAAAATCCATGCCAAGGACAAATATTGTGTAAAGCAGGCAGAAAATAGACCTGCGGCAAAAAACCGGTGGACCAAGTCTTACTTGATCAATATACATTTAAATCGTATTATTATAAAAATAATTCCACATAGATCGTCTATAGATAGATATATAAATATTATATCGTATTTTTCGGATGATACATACTCTATATAGAAATATATATTGGTTGTTGTTGTTGTTGTCTCTTTTGAACGGAAAAAAAAAGTATATATTTACATATATATTCTCGCTCGGTCGATTATATCTCGATTACTTCGGCGTGTGTTCCTTTTCTCAATTTTATTATTTCATTTACGTTCGGCCAACAGTGTGAGGAAAAACAATAAAATTGATGTTCTTTCCGAAGAGCCATGTCCTCTTCGCCGAGGAGGGGCGACCGGTAGGGCCAATAGACTGATGATGTGCGATGATAAAGATGACGATGCACGCGATGGGCCCGCCTGAGGTCAAGTGGCACCAGGTTGATTTCTGAGGTGTCCCCGGGTGAGAGAGATAGCCGCGTGGCACACTGGGTACACCTACCACCTACCGCCTACTACTACTTGCGCAGTGATACGTGGTGAAACCCAGTGAGACAATCCCAGTGACCGAGAATAGGTTCTTACGTATCTGCGATCCTTTCATCGGTGATCGGTCTGGAGAGAGAAAAACGTCTGCCTTCTACGAATCATCAATGACTCTGACCTGTCTATGGATATGCTCTATGTTTTACCACCATCATCATCACCACCGTATCATGAATTCTACGCCTGTTCACTCCTCTACCCATGGTGTCCTCTCTGATCCCAGTATGTAACGCATTACAATTCTCTCTTTGTCCCGAGTCTTTGCCTCGTACCTCCTTGCAACAGATTATCATAAATTGATTCAACGATTCATGATCATCCACCAGAGTATTCTGCACCTTTCTGTCCATTGTCTGATGAATCCCGAAGAGTCGCATCTTCTCCTAATCTGTCCCGAGACTCTGCTACATCCGTTTTCCCGTCTAACTCTCTCTACTGTCACATTTATTACTACACCACCTACGACTGTTACTGCTACTGGTACGCCACCAACTTAGCCATCTAGTAAGTCAGGCAGCGGCCACCCATGAGGGCATACACGGGCCGAAACCCGAACCATCCGCGACTACGCCACACAGATCCGTTCGACCCGACCAAGCGCCGTTGTGTCTGGCCTTTCTCTCTGTCCGTAAGCAAGGTGGTGCCTGGGCCCAAGGTAAATGCGTCACCTTAACCGAGTGTACTCTTTAGATATATACATTATATCTATTATATACATATATATATATATTATATATATATACTCTGTATATCTATATATATATATACACACTTACACACTTGTAATAACCTTGTTCTCTCTCTCAGTTATATCTCGTTGTTATATATATATATATATTTGCCGTATATATATTTATATATTGCATACTAAAATATATATCTATATATACATGTTGTTTGTTCTTATAACTGTGCACCATATATAATATATATAGTGGTCAGGTGTTTTTTATATATGTAGATTTATTGAGATCATTCGACGAGCTTGAAGAGACCCGTGCACACACACGAGTAAAAAAACCAGTACCAGAGGGGACCAGTTTGACAGTATAGTAATATATTTATATATAGTGTAATTTTATAAAAACTGTGCTCGAAATTAGGCATCCATGTTCATTAGAGTTTTATCGTTAAACGCTACTCTCTCGCAGTGTAAAAATCGTGAACGATCGTGTTTCCAAACAAGGTGCGTCTTTGGGAAACCGAGCCTCTCACAATTCTCGGGGAGAATCGAAATCCTGTTGATAATAATGTCGCGCGCCGGTGTCACCTTTCTTCCATTTGAACGATAAAAAGAACGAACAGTTTGAAAGAGAACGAAAAACAAAGAGAACAACTTTTCTTTATGCAAGGCAATTCCATCGTGTCATGTTCTGTTTCTATGTTCTTTTTTGGTGTACAGTGAGTGTACCCCGAAGGAGATGTTTTCTATAATCTTAACGCGTTTTCCAGTTGGATTGTCAAAGCTGTATGATCAAGTAACTATTTCACGTTGGATCGCCGAGCGAAAAATGTCGAGAAAACCCGGTGTCAGGGATGAGACCACGAAGAGAGAGAGAGAGAAAGAAAAATAGAAAGAGAGATAAAGAGATAGACAGAGAGAGACGTCAAGCTGAAACAGAGAAAGTACAGAGACATTGAGAGAAAGAAAATAGCAACATTCACGCACCTCGCAAGAGCGTCCACAGCTATAAAGCCGTACCTGGTTCCCACAAATACAAGTTCCGCCGATGAACGAATGGATACACACCAGAAACAGAGATGATGATGATGATGATGGATACTTTAAAAGATTTTCAGGAAAACGTTGATCAAGTACGATCGCGAAATCGTACGAGGAAACGAAGAAGGACATCAAGAGGAGTTCCTCCATTACCAATCAGATATTTCCTCTGCCTTCATGTGCCAGAAGAAAATGAATTTAGTGGTCATCAACAACATTGTCGCAACACGGATTTCTTCGTCTTCAGTCAACGGCCGACAGCAAGACAACGAGCACACCATTGTTCTGA